TATATATATACACACAAGGATAACGTCTAGTTAACCAGAGCTTTCACCTCAAATCATAATATTACCCCATATATAAAATATGATTCTTAGTACAATAATGTATTTTAAAAATATTGTATTAAAATTTCGAATACAAACCTCAAAAATAAAAGTATAAAACAACTATAGCGAAAACTCAGTCGAAATACATCATACATGTTAGCTGTCAAAAAAAAAAAAAAATAACAGTAACGTTATGTTGTCGTAGCTCATTGACAGTTTATAACCATTTACATTGGCAACATTTCATGAGTGACACCACCTCCTGGAAAGTGTAATGAAATTCAAACAAACAAACAAACAAACATGTTTGTTAGTATGTGTACTTTTGCTTAAGTATCACTTACTTTTGAATTCAAGTTCATTTTTTTAAAGTATTTAAACGTTTCACTGTAATGTTTTTTGTCTTCCATTGCTAGTCTTCAGCTTTCTTATTACGGGTTCAGGTTATTCATGCAGTTCAGAAGGCTCTTTTATGTATGTAATACATAAATCCAACGCCTCGATGATGTCATCAGCAGCCGACGATGACAGGACTCTTCTTCGCCGATGCATACCCTGTAGAACCGAATGTGTGTGGAGATGTCTCAGTCACAGATTGGGTTCTAGGGGAGTCCATGGGCGACGACTAACCATCAGTCAGAATCAAAGCGAAGGAAACTCCGAGCTTTGGTCAACACTGGGTGTTTCTACCTTAACTTCAGTTTTACTTTTTTTAAAAAAATCCACGATACGTGATTAGAGACGGTTCAACATCAGCTTTCGATTCAATTCTACGTCAGAATCAAAGGGTTCGGTGATCGTGAAATGTATTTACCATTTCCCCCCAAAAAATATTTTCACTTGGCCCCACTGTGATATATAAAAAATGACATTTTGTAATTCATTTTGTGGGCCAGATTTAAGCCACAATGGTGCCATAGTTGCATGTTAGCCAAACTGTGGTTCTAAAACCCCCAAAACTGGCCCATTTGGGGAACTGGTGATTTAGGTGCACGTCAGAGACTCATGCCCATGTGGTGTTGGGTCAAATGAACCCCTAACAGCGGTGCGTCGATGTGAGGAAAGGTCAATGCATGTGGAAAAAGATGGAACAGCTTTGTGCTCTGTAATTTCATACCAGGACGGAAGCAAAAGGTCTCTGACTTCACTTTTTTTTTTTTTTTTTTGCAAAAAAAAAAGAGCTACTCACTGAAATGGACATTGACTGAAGAGATGTGAAACGAAGAGTTTTAAACGTCAAGAACGTTTTTCACGTGCATGCGATGATCACGTGATCCAATTCAAACGCAATTTTTTATATCTAAAATATTATATTTTTCAATATGTATATCTAAATACAGAATGTTGAGCATCGACTTTGACATTAAACGAATAGATCAATCCTCTTTATTGTTTTTCCCAGTGGCTTTTCCAGCCCGAACAACTAATTCAGGAAATCCCACAGATTAGAATCTAGAAACGGATCAAACTCGTTGTGGTAGCGGTTGCCAAATGTATTTAGGCACACTGCTACTACTACTCGCGTGTTCTTCAAATCCCAGCTGAGTGCATCGCATCCGAAAGAAGTAAGTCAGAAGTAATGATACAAGACCGCGTAACACGAGGATATTAAGACGTTTTGGCCGCAGCTCCAGGCCTTTGAGTAACATCCTCAGAGAGCAGCTGCAGGAAATCCCCCCGGGGATCCGATACTGATTTACGGCGTTTGAAAGATTTGTCGACGTTTTAACTGGGATTTCTGCGCCTCTGACACAGAGTCACATTTAATACCTGTATTATTTAAAAAAAATATATATATATATAGCTAACTTTGTTTCAGCCCTTATTTTGTGCAGGTCAGTTCCGAGGTCTTCATCATTAGTATCTATCGGACGTTTAAAAAAAAAAAAAAGAAATTAAATCAAAGTAAAGCCTTTTAAATGAAGGCTGCTTCATTAAGGAGACACCTCGGGCTGACCCCCAGGTCTAACAAAGCAAACTACTAGTCACTGTCTAGGACCCCTTTATGTCATTCTTTTATTCGGAGACTTTTTTTTTTGTTTTTGTTTTTTTTTTTTTGTTTTTTTTGTGCGCCCCCTTTTGACCAACCACAAGGCTAAATATGGGCCCCCGTCCATACAATATGGCCGAGAATAATTTTTCAGCTTCGGCCATCTGCGAGGGTAAAAGTCAAGTCAGCTAAAAGCCATAAATCTAGAATCCCCGCGTTTTCTATAGCTTTGCAGCACCGGAGTGGGGAGGGTGGTCGCCACAATAGGGGATGGGATGAAATAGAGTCTCCTCTACAATCATCAAATCCACATAAAACATATATTTAATAATAATAAAAAAAAAATAATAACAATAAAAATAATTTCCCAATGCAGGATCATTTTAAAATTGAACTCCAATTTTATTTCCCCCCCCCAAAATGACTTAATTGATGCTTGACTTAAACAACCCTATTCCGTATCTCATTGGCTGGCACCAGGGTCACGTGGCCTGCACGGCACTCCGTCTATTTGACAGCCCCAGGATGGCTCAGTGCCAGAGGGGGGAAACAAGACTCACACATAGGAAAAGAGAGAGAAAGAAGGGAGAGAGGGAGGGAGGGAGAGAGAGAGAGAGAGTGAGTGAGAGAGAGAGAGAGGGAGAGAGAGAGAGATTAGTATTCTGCCACCAGTCTCGCTATAAATCAATCATGGAGTCCTACGTGATGAGCTGTAAATATGCTGAGTCGCAGTTCCTGCCTTGTGAAGAAGATTACAGTAATTTTACTAACCAGGGGGGGTATTACAACAACAACAACCACAACAACAACCCCCAGGACTGCGGTAGTTATGAAGGGGGGTATCACCAGCCCCTGCAGCCCCCGGCGCCACCAAATATACCACAACAAAGCGACTATCCGCACTCTTTGCAGGCGCATCATCACCCGGAGGACGGAGACAAACTCGGAAATCAACAGCCTCAGCAACAACAAAATGACGCGGAGTCCTTCTTCGGGTACGGGGACGCGCAGGATCCCGGCAGCAAGGACAGGTTCTCCCTGCACCCTGAGCTGCGGTGCCAGGCCTGGATGACCTGCAGCGGTGCCAACAACAAGCCCGTTCAGGTGCAGAGGAGAGCGGCGTGCCAGAGCAAGGACAAGCCGCCGTTTGTTGTCTACCCGTGGATGAAGAAGGTGCACATCGCTCAAGGTAACGCAACGTAACGTAACGTAACGTAATCTTTCTTTTCTCTCTCTCTTTCTTTCTCTCTTTCTGTCCAATTGATTTGTCCATCTGTGAGCACACATTTTGTCTAGTTATTTACGACCTAAGTGCGAGCCAGTAAGAATTATGGCCCCCATAAAGTTTTACAGCCTTGTCACGCCGTCCGTGCGCGTTTGTAGACACTGGTTTTTTTTTTGGGGGGGGGGGGGGGTCTCGGGGGTGTG